ATTTAGACTTAATTCTGTGGTGGCAGAGCAAAAGAATTTGCCAAGAGATGTGGTAATTTACTTTCGGAAAAGATCCCTGCGCAATGAAATTATACAAGCTTTTTATAAGAAGAGGTTTCAAATTGCTTCACAAAATGTTATAATTTTAAAGGAGATCCCATCTAAAATTTTAAAAAGAAGAAAGGAGTTTGCTTTTTTAGCAGACGAACTTAAAAAGAGACAAATTTTGTTTAGATGGGATGTTCCGACTGGAATGGTGGTGAATTACCTGGGATACGTTATAGTCTTAATACTGTTTCCAAAGCAAAAGACTTTTATACTTCGGTCCTGGGGGTATGCTCATCGCCACCTATCACGTTTAAAGCTTTGGAAGATAAAAAGGCAGAATTGCAATCTGAAGTGCTTACACTTATGAAAATTGGGAAACTTCAGCTTGAGGGGCCTCAACAAGTAGAGATGGAGGAGCAGAAGACAACCGGTGTAATATATAATTGTAAAGAAAAGGATCAACAGAAGAAGGTCAAGGAAGTTTCACAAGTATTGGTTCCTGAATCTGCGGGAGAAGTAGGATTTATAAATTTTTTGGAGCAACCTTTAAGGGCAGAATTGCAGTGTGAAGAACCTATATTAATTAAAAATGGGAAATTTCAGTTTGAGGGGCCTCAACAAGTCGAGATGAAAGAGCAGAGGACAACTTGTGCAACATATAAATGTAAAGAGAAAGACCAACAGAAGAAGGAGGTTAAGGAAGCCTCACAAGTATTGGTTCCTGAGTTGGGAGAACCAGGACTTACAAATTTTTTGGAGCTACCTTTAAGGGCAGATTTTAAAGTACTTCTTTCGAGATTTATGGACAAGAGAGACTGATAAGGATTGTGTTTACAGTGGATGGAACTGGCTATTGGAGAGAAGATTATGGAGATCGAATGAAAATTTTAGATAAGAAGTTTAAGTTTAAGTACTTAGTTTAAGTATTTAGAAGACTATTGAGATTGCGGGAGAATTAAGATTTACAAACTTTTTGGAATTACCTTTAAGAGGTTTATGGATAAGAGAAGGAATGTGTTTACTGTGGAGGAATTTGTTATTGGTAAAGATTTAAACAGGTATAAGGGAATTTTAATGTTTTAAGTTATGTTTATGGGATCTACTATTATTATTATTTTTAAGAGAAGCTAATTTGTTTAATTAAACGTATTTAGATTTGTTTAGGATTTATATGTTTTTTAAGTTTTTTCTTTTCTTGATAGGAGAGAAGATTATGGAGATTGAATGAAAATTTTAGATAAGAAGTTTAAATATAAGTATTTAGTTTAACTATTCAAAAGAGTATCCAGTCTTAATGGTATAATGAATGTTTATATGCTTATTTTTGTGCTCTAGAGTAAAGAAAGAGGGAGATTAGATCTTATATTGTAGGTATGGATATTTAAAGAAAGTAATGTTTAAATTTGTGTTTTGGGGGTTCTATATAGAATGATGGATAATAATATAAGTACAATACTAGAAAATGTTTAAAGTATATTATAATGTGTGTTTAATGTTTGCAACTATTATGTTTTAGAGAAGATAATTTGTTTAATTTAAGGTATTTAGATTTGTTTAGGATTTATATGTGTTTTAAGTTTTTTTCTATTTTTTATTTTCCTTGAAAATTTTAATTAAGCCTGTACTCAGCTCTGGGAAGGTTGAGGGAGGGTATGGGAGGTTTGGGGAAGATGGGGGAGGTTATGGGAGGGTGGGGGTTTGGGGAAGGGATTTGTTTTGTAAAATTTAAAAACTTTCAATAAAAAAAGTTATTCTTTTAGAATTACAGTAATATAATTCATTCTCCAACCTGCTACCCTTTGGATACATTAGAGTAACTTCAAGGAAGCAGAAGTTACATGTAGAGGTCACTAAGTTGGGAAAGATTGATGTAGGTAGTGAATTCCACAATTGATATCAAATCCTGCAACTGTGTAGCAACCCTTTGGACAGACAGGATATATATTGCCTTACTTAACCACTAATCATGGCACTGCAAAAAGGTATTATCAATAAAGTCCCAATATCCAACTGCTGAATTAGAACTTGCTTTAAAATTATAATAATAATAATAGTAAAGTTGGAAGGGACCTTGGAGGTCATCTAGCTCAACCCCCTGCTCAGGCAGGAAACCCTATACCATTTCGGACAAATGGCTATCCAGTCTCTTCTTAAAAACCTCCAGTGTTGGAGCATTCACTGCCTCTGGAGGCAGGTTGTTCCATTGGTTAATTGTTCTGTCAGGAAGTTTCTCCTTAGTTCTAGGTTGCCTCTCTCCTTGATTAATTTCCATCTGTTGCTTCTTGTCCTGCCTTCAGAAGCCTTGGAAAATAGCTTGACACCCTCTTCTTTGTGGCAGCCCCTGAGATATTGCAACACTGCTATCATGTCCCCCCTCGTCCTTCTCTTCATTAAACTAGACATTATATTATACCCAATTCCAGCAGCCATTCCTTATATGCTTTAGCCTCCAGTCCCCTAATCATCTTTGTTGCTCTTCTCTGTACTCTTTCTAGAGTCTCAATATTTTTTTTACATCATGGTGACCAAAACTGGATGCAGTATTCCAGGTGTGGCCTTACCAAGGCATTGTAAAGTGGTATTAATAATCAAGTGATTTTGATTCTATCCCCGTTAATGCAGCCTAGCATTGTGTTGGCCTTTTTGGCAGCTGCAGCACACTGCTGGCTCATATTTAGGTGATTGTCTACTAGGACTCCGAGGTCCCTCTCACAGTTACTACTATTGAGCAAGGTACCCCCTATACTATACCTGTGCATTTGGTTTTCTTGCCTAAATGTAGAACTTTGTTTTTTTCACCATTGAATTTCATTTTGTTAGATAATGCCCAGGGTTCAAGTCTGTCAAGATCCTTCTGTATCTTAAGCCTGTCTTCTGGAATGTTGGCTATTCCTGCCAGTTTGGTGTCGTCTGCAAATTTGATGAGTTCCCCATCTATCCCCTCGTCCAAATCGTTGATGAAGATGTTGAAGAGCACTAGGCCCAGAACAGAGCCCTGGGGCACCCCACTACACACTTCCCTCCATGTAGATGTGGTTCCATTGAGGACCACATACTGAGTATGCCCGGTCAGCCAGCTACGGATCCATCTGGTGGTGATGCTGTCTACCCCACATTTTTCTATCTTGTCAGGTAGTAGGTTGTGATCTACTTTATCAAATGCTTTACTGAAGTCCAAGTAAATTATATCCACAGCATTCCTCTGATCTACTAATTTTGTCACTTGGTCAAAGAATGCAATAAGATTTGTCTGGCATGATCTATTTTTGACAAACCCATGCTGGCTTTTAGTAATGACTTTGTTTGCCTCTAGGTGTTCACTGATTCATTGTTTGATTATCTTTTCCAGGATCTTCCCAGGTATCGAGGTCAGGCTGATAGGTCTGTAATTTCCTTTTTTGAAGATGGGAACTACATCAGCTCTTTTTCCAGTCCTCTGGTAATTCTCCAGTGCTCCAGGATCTTTGAAAAATATAGTTCAGTGGTTCTGAGATCACATCTGCCAGTTCTTTGAGAACTTTGGGGTGTAATCCATCTGGTCCTGGTGATTTGAACTCGTCTAGGCTGGACAGGTGCTCACTTACCATTTTCTTGCCTATCTTAACTTGTGTTTCTATTCTATTTTTTTATGGCACTATTTTTGATAGGTTGGTCTGTTTTTTCCCTTTGTGTAAATGTTTGTTTTGTGAGCTGTCCAACATTGTCATACGTAACATGAGTAGTCACATAAGTACTTGTCCCTGATTTGAAATATTTTCATTGATTAAGCTAACTAAAATTCAAAGTTACAAAATATATTTGTCTTTATCAATGGTATACATCAATTGTTATCAACCTATTGTTTACCACGGACTTAACTCAAGATTTAAATCATAACATTTCTTCAAGCCTTTGTGGACCCCCTGTGATGACATCATCCCCCCCCCCCCGCCAGGGGTCTGTGGACCACAGATTGAGAATCACTGGTATACATTGTTCAGCAACAAGAAACTTTCTAATAAAGATGTAAGTTGCAATTTTACTCATAGTTTCTGGAAGGCATGATCCTTTGATGATAGTTTGGAACCCAATCAATGTTAAAAAAGAATTAAAAATGACAAAAACATTAGCACTAAGCCACATATTGATTCTAGTTCTAACACACATCATTCCATGGGCTTACTAAAATATATTTAAATATTTTTAAGCATAAGGAAAGTAATAATTAGAGGTATTATTCTTCCCTAAGGCCCGAATTACCAAAAAAACCTAGGAGCTGAGAAAAGTTTGAGATTCATCTATGGTAGGAATGTTTTCACCATATCCTCTTCCATTTTTTTTAATGCAAATATTCTGGAGTAATTCCATACTGCTATAAGCATGTGGAGAAAATCTAACATACAAGGAATAAAGTGATTGTGAAAAGGCCTCAACTACGTTTAAGCAAAGGGAGCTTATGAGTGATACACCTCCACAAAGCTTTGCTATCTACCTTTGGAGGTGGTAAATTGTCTAGGTATTGATTAAATATTAAATTAATTGTCTATGTTATAAATGTGCTGTTAAGAAATCAGATATAGCTTTCAAGCACTCATAGTGATGCCAAAACAAGAAGAAACACAATAAGATTTTGGTAACACTCACCGTTTATTCCGGCTAGGCCACTCAAATACAGAGGTGATGATGTAGAGCTGTTATGCTCCCCAAATAAAAACATTCAGGTTACTTTGTTCCTCTCTTTGCTTTCGGCAAGCAGCTTATCGGGGCTCTAATTTCTCCCTAGAGCTTTCACAGGACTGGACTGACAAGCACAGGGGTGAACGCATCTTTCCACTTCGGGAAGTGTGTTTTTGCCAAGTTTTCTTCTGCTGTCACTTACAACTAAGAACAAACATAAGCAACAGCTGCTGATTTGGCTCATTTCAAATCTATAATTATCCCTCCATTTGTTTTTCATAGGAGGACCCCTTTGGTGAGAACTCAGAATCATGGAAATAATTTGCATCAATCTTTTCCATTTGGGACACATTTCTTCTACCATCGTTCAGTGACATAAAATAAGGTCAATTATTCAAAAGAGAAGAAAGAAATGGAAAAGCAAAAAAAGAAGGTAAAAGAAAAATGCCTTTAGATTCCCACTTTGTTGTTATTAAAACATAAGAGTCAGAAAGGAAAAAGGGCTCAGGGCTTTTGAAGTTGTGGCCTAAAAACTATGTGAAGTTTATACATTTGTACTTACTATTCAAAGGTGATTGGACTAACTAAAGGCTATTACTATATTAACTTCCCAATGACCTTTCTCTTGAATATAGTTTCCACAGGGCGGACATAATATTGTATAAGTAGCTATGGAACTAATGCTTAAAAATTCCTAAATTGTAATCATAACAGACATAATATGCACAGTTATTAAGAATTAGATGATTCAAAATGCAATTCCAAAGAGGCTTATCTTAAATGTTAAGTCTCAGTAACTGCAGTGGTTTAATAATATATAAATATGCATATGATTGCTTTGAAATTTTACATATCTCTATACTTTTACCTGTAGTATCTCTGTGAACAGATGCTATTTGAGTGTTACAAAGGATAAGGATCTTGTGTCAAGAAAACCAGAAACTGTGTTATTCATTTTCTCATACCTCACAGGATAGCAAAAGTGGGGCTCTGTAAACTATGGGCTAATCTTTAGGAAGAGGATTCGGCAGTGGAATAATTGACAAAAAAGACATCGCTCAGAAATCCTAATACAGAATAAGTTATGATGAGATTACTGCAGCATTTAGTGTAACAAATGATAAAAGTGACTCTATATTCAACCAGGTTTTATTGGCATTACAAGGCAATGAATAGAGAGGCAAGATGACATATCTGATATGGGGGAAAGGACACATTTTTCTAATATTGGTCAGTAAATCAGTCAACACTATCTAATAATCTAGAAGATCACTTAGATTTGCCATTTAGAAAGTTAGCAAAGTGGGAAATTGTAAGGAACAGAGCAAAATATAGTTGAATGGCCTAGAAATAAAACAGGAAAATAACTTGACAGTTTCTACTGGTTTAATTATTTCTTCATTGTAAACATATTTTTCAACAATCAAGTGACACTGGTGTCCACATATTGTCAGACAGAATACACAGAAATCAAATTGATTATGTTATTGATGCTAAGAGGTGGAAGAGAGCTCAGTTGTAACAGCAAAGACAGGGGCTGACTGTGAAATAGATCACATAATACTCATGTACAGGTTCTATAGCCAGTTTCTATAATAAGATCCTAAGCACATTCCCATCTTTTGTAAAAAAGAATGCCAGGAACTGCTTTGAAGTCCTGAATCTCATTGATATGGAACCAAAGGACTATGGAATAAAATCAGACAAGTGGTTAGGGATAAATAAGAAAAGAAACTACTTAGGATCAAGTAACAGAAGAAAGCAAATTGAATGTCAGAACAAACAGTAGAAATTGCCATGAAAAAAAATCAAAGCCAGGAAAGAAAAATAGCTCAGAAACAAATCTAACAAAATTTTCAGAAAAGAAGCAGTATTAAATGATGTTTGTAAAGATATCAAAGATAGAAAAAACACGAACAGAAAAATGAAAATTTCCCTACAGACCTCTGCACTCAGTAGGAGATTCCAACCTAAAATTGGTATATTAAAGGACATTAATAAACAGATAGTAACTTGTTCAAAGAAGAGCAAAGATGAAAGAAGTATAATAAAACTCTATACAGTAGAAATATCAAAATCCAAGATACTTTGATAATAATGGCTGCTAAACCAAGTACCTCTCTTTCTGGTCTCAAATACATGTAATTTCAGAGTCAGCAGAGGTACAAGTTGCCTTGTGCCCCAAAAGTCAGTCTGACATTATGTGAGCAGCTACCTCTGTGAAAACCAGGTATTCAGTGTTTCCAATAGCACAAGCCACAATTGATATGGAGGACAAGTGCCCAGGATCAGAACAACCTTGCCCACTTTAAGGAGAACTTTTAGTGATTGATCTTGCCATCAAGATGCTTGGTGAGAAAGGGAAGTCAAGTGACCCACTAATCATTTTCATTAATTTGATTTTGTGACAGCACTACTATTCTGACTCTGAGTTAAAAACACCTTCTTTAAATCAAGTCAGATAGACAACTCAAAAGAAACGATCTCATAACAAACAAAAAGTATATTTTAATCAGAAAGATCACGCTGTGGCTGTTACTCCTGGAAAATACATCCTTTGTCCATTTCTTTAGACCATTTCTTTAGGTAAAAGTATGATGCTCTCTTCCATACCATCTTCATAACGACTCAAGCTCATTGTGAGACATTCGAAGGCCCATGCTTCTTTCAGACAAAGAGATTCCACTCTGGCTTGTGTCCAGGAAATCTCCCAATGACCTTTTGAGACTCCTCCCACTAACCCATCAACATACCTAGCATTTAACCCAATAACTGCCAGATATTCTAACATGCTGTTACCTGCTCTCTAGTTAAGGTTACATAGAGCTATACGGTCCATGGAGGTATAGGTTCCAGAATACTCCCCGCTTGGAAATTTATATTTCCACTACTAACTAACTGAAATAGCAAAAACATAGCATCAAGGTATGCAATACTCATTGTTAACTAACTTGTGACTAAATAGGTAAAAACTTGGTATCAAACATGCATAACTATAAAGTAAATATAAAACATGCATGATTATGCAAAAAAAAGGCAAGTGTTACATCAAACAATGCATAAGACAATACATAATTTGAGGTTTGATCTTCTGGTTCAGTCTTCATCAGCAACGGGACCAATCGGTGATCAGCCTGGTACACGTGTCTTTGAGTCACGACCTGACTCACTTGGCTTCACAATCTGGACCTCAGCTGGGCAAACTAGTTCATCAAGTGGGTGGGCCCAGTGCATAAGTCCCATGGGCCAATAGTTTTGGCATGCATGCTTGTCTCTCAGTGAGACAAGGTCTTCTTCCTGTAAAGGAAACTGAAACCAAATCTGGAACAGAAAAACCGGAACTGAAAATTTCTCAGGAACAAAGGGAACTGGATTCACAGGATACTCAAAAACTGAAGAACCTGGAAAAACATGAACAGCTGGATCTGGAAACACAGGAACAGCTGGGGCTGAAGAATCAGGATCAGGAACATCTGGAAACTCAGGAACAGCTGGAGCTGGAAACTCAGGAACAGCTGGGGCTGAAGAATCAGGATCAGGAACATCTGGAAACTCAGAAACAACTGGAGCTGGAAACTCAGGAACAGCCGGAACTGAAGAATCAGGAACAATAGCTGCTGCAGAAGCCTCAGGATACTCAAGAAGCGAAGGGTCTGGAACCACCGGTGGAGTATTGAAGAGGGCTGCTACTGCTGTCATCAGGGTAGTGAGGACTTCATGTGTGGGTGTGGGTGTCTTTAACGACATGGAATCCATGAAAGTCAGTAAGTCCTTGCAGGCTCCTACAAGGCTAATTCTTGGGATGCTAAGACAAGTGATCAAGACGATCAAAACTATGCCTAATCTTAGGTGCTTCCGCTTAGATAGGGGTTTGAAGCGGATTGGTTGACGCTTACTGTGTATCTGAGGTTGAAGGTTGGCACTTTGATCTGAAACTGGAAGTGCATAATGTTTTGGTCTTTGTGGCATCTGTCTGTTTGGACAGATCAAGAACTCAAGACTTTCTAGCCAGATCAATTCTGTTAACTGTGTGGCAAAGTTGGGCCACTTCACTTGGTTACCAAAGTTATTATTTGCTGGCACATGTTGCCATTGTTCAGGGCTTAAAGATGTTTCAATCCTTTTCTCTCTGTTGCTTACATGGACGTAGAAGTGTCTGCTTTGTTTGCAGATGTAGCTTGACATCACCTTGCTGTCTGCGTAGAAGGTGGTGGACTGTAGTTCAAGGCACAACGTCTTCGCTGTCAAGTTGGTAAGCTTTACAGCCAAAGTGGTACCACATAGTTCTAACCTTGGTACTGTGTGGCCTTCTTGTATTGTTAGTCTCGCTTTTCCAGCACTCCCCGCTGTAGACTCTGATGTATCTTATGGTTGCAAATAAGACGACGTAAGTGTGGCTCTCCCCGCTGTAGAGTGAGACGTATCTTAAGGCTGCAGTCACCTTCATAGACACATCTAAGGAAGTGTACAATTCTTTCTTCTGCACTTTGGCGGGTGAGCTGGAGACATACGTATGCTGCACTTGCATGCTTTGGAGACATCTTGGGAGTACACTCCATGACTCCCAGTCTTGGAGACGTTGTTTGTCTTGTTTGTCCTCTATGGACAAAGCTAAGTTGTTGTAATTCTTGCTTGTCTGGAACACTGTTGCTTCCAAAACAGGTTTGGTTGTCATGAGCATGCAGTGTTCTAGGTGCAGTTGGAACACTGTTGCTACCAAAACAGGTTTGGTTATCACAAGTGTGCAGTGTTGTAGGTGTGGTTTTAGAGGGTTCAATGGGGTGGCAACGGTGGGGAGATCTTGTGACCTGGGTATCGCGACATCAACTCTGTGGCTGACTGCCGCATCTGGTCGTTGAGATTCCTCTGTTCGCCTACTCGGTCTTGGGGGGCTTGTGGCTGGCTGTGGCGCTCTCACCTGTGCATTCTGGAATGCGCTTTGGTTGTCCATGTAGGCCTGTGCACAGCTACGACGCTCTTCCTTTTCCAGTTGCTCCCTATTTGGCAAGAAAGTGGTGTGCTGGAGTATTTTCTGAAGGCCTTTTGCTCTTGCCACTTTGTCGGCCACATCTCGCTGGCTTCGTATGAACACAAGCTCATCTTGAGCGGTCTTCATTTTGGCTTTCCTTATATCTGCGTCTGCCTCTGCTTCAGCTTCTCTTTGAGCTGCTTCAGTCTTCCTTTTGGCTGCTTCAACCTTTCGTTTGGCCTTCAGTTGGGCTTCTTCTATTTCCATCGCTTCCAATTTCTTCCTTTTCTGTCGCTCCTCCTGTGCCACGCGAAAGACTGTTTCAGCAGCTTCAGCATCGATGATCATTTGCTCTGCATGGGAAATTCTGGATGCTCGGCTATGACGGGAAGATGTTTTCGAAAGGCGGGAGGTGCCTGTAGCATAAGGTTGTTGTGACACGCTGGAATGCGCCTTGGAGATAT